TATTCTTACTCACAGTAAACCCATTGAAATTGAAAAAGGTTCAATTAATGGACCCATTAATAAGTCTGCTCTGAGTAGATTTAGTTGGCAACAATCCATAGTTTCATGTTTGTCATGCTTGTTAGGTATACAGCTTTAAATTAGTAGATTCCTCAGTTCATTTTATGAGTTTGTCCTTACAAAGTTACTTGGGTACTTTCCTACTGAAGGAAGGAGTTCATGTTTTGCCCTTTTCATTGACCTTTGACACTTAATTTGAGCATCAGCAGTGCTTGTCATTTCATTTGTGTGATTTCTGAAGCGTCAGGAATTGGAATGTATTCCACAAATACAGACTTGGCATACTTCTGCAACGATATTCTGGCTTTAGCTTCTACAGTTCCCTAATTTTCCCAATAATTATGTATACTGTTTAGAAGCCAAACATACAGATGGCACTGGAAACACTGAACTCTAGTTCAGCACTTGGTATCAGTTATTAATGAACATGTCTGACAAATAAAACATTGTATTTTGTTACAGTTTGGTATTTTGGGAGCATGGAATGACAATCTGTTTGGAAGGAGAATGATCTGTTTTAGTGATAATCTGGTAGTGTGTGCATACATATTTTTTCTAGGCTTACGTGAGTTAAATTTGGAAGCAAACCCTTATGTAAATTTGATATAAATTATATATGGATATGTGTGTGTGTGTGTGTGTGTGTGTTTTGATATAAATGCTATAAATGTATTATCACTAGTTCCAAAGTATCCATGCTCAACTTCTGGGAAATCTGAGCCCTGCAGTCAACTTCATTTAGCCTTCATTGCTGAAAAGGTGAATGTACCTTCTAGAAAGAAATTTGCTAGGTAATGGAGCTGCCTGGTGGCCTCCCTGCATATATTGGGTAGGCCTGCCGAATGTGGGTTGCCTAAAGGCATTAAACTTGAGAGAGCTAAACAGAAGACTGCCTATGACTAAAACATTTTCAGCCTTTTTTATTCTTAGTTCATGGACAAACTTGCAACCTGAAGTTGGGAAGAAAGAGTCAGCTTCACAGTGTTGGTTGATCTATGGGCCACTTTATTTAAACACAAACCACCTGCAGAGGTATAAGTGGGGAAATGAGCAGCCTGCAGGCAATAGCATACAACCCCCGACAATGGAAAATGTGGTACTGCCTACCCCCTTTCCCTAAGACACCTAAAAGGGTGAGCAAGGGCCTTTCCGGTAGCACCACTCCCCAGGGCCCCATAACTACCCCATAACTTCTCCTTTGTTGAATGTATACTATTCTGTGCCATTCCATTTGGAACTGTTTTTCTTGTTTTATGATTGTATCTGTTTTTATAATTCTACATGTTATTGTTTTAACTAGCTCTGGGACCTTTTGGTGAAGGGCAGGTAAGTCATTTTACAAACAAACAAAGGTTGAATGAAATGGAAGTCCTCCTTAAATTCAGGGAGCTAGTTAACTATTGAGGAGCCTAACTATTTTCAGAACACTTTATTACGAAGACTGATTCCAGAAGCAGCAGTAAAATAATGTGGGCTTAGCTTGCAGGTTGTGTATCTATGGGAAACAAGGACATTTGGTTAAAATCAGGGTGGATGAGAGGTGTGTGAACTTTACCTATTCCATAGCTTTGTATTCTGGCAGGAAAAAAATTACACAAATGCTAGGCTTTAATTAATGTCTGGGATAGACAACATGTCCCGCATGCAGAAGCTTCAAATTTAAATCCCTGGAAGCTCCAAATAGCTGCTGAGCTGAGGAAAAACACTACTTGAGACCAGGAGTTGTACTGCTAGTCAGACCAGACCATAGACAGAGTAACCTGATTTGGGATAAAACGTCATTGTACATGTATTAATTGTTCTGTGTGTCAGTTGATATGAAAGGGTTTTTTTAATGTTCCAGGTAGGCATTAAAGTTAGTAAATTATGTAGATAATATAGTGGAATACACTGGAACTGAGTATTTACCTCTTTTTGTCTCCCAATTCATCAAATTTTTAGGGCGCGATCCTAGGCTCACTTACCTGGAAGAAAGCCCCATTGAAATAAACGAGTCTTACTTCTGAGATGTTCATGCATAGGACTGTACTGCATTTTTCTGTAGTCATAATGCCCATTGAACTCAAGTTGGATACTTTTCAAAAACCTTTTTAAATGAACCAAAATATGTTTTAGGCAAATCGGGGGTTAGAAATTGTTATGAGGTATTAGAAAATGCTGTATTTCAGGACTTCAGTTTGTTTCTAGTTAGAATCAGGAATGTAAGGTAAGTGTGTGAAAATGGATTAAATTGTAATTAAATCATAGAAAACTAATTGGAATTTTGAAAGCCTTAAAATAAGAGTTAATGTCGACTTTGATATTATTGAAGCCCATAGTTTCAGGATATTCATTATAAATGCTCTATTTTTTAGGGCTCTTTTAAACAGGAGTTGTTTGTTTACACATGATACGTTTGCAGAGATGAGCCAGACATTTTGAAGAGACCTGCATCAACTTTTTACAAGCCAAGCTTATTGTTGTCATGGGAGATATAGCCCAACTGATTATATAGGGATAGTCCTATAATTCATAGTGACCATTTGTGACTGGTGTCAGCTAGAGGAATAATTCCAGGCTACAAATTTCTTTCATTTAATAGGAGAGTTAAGGTTCTTACAAATTTATTTGTACACGCCTCAAAGCATGGAAGGGGTAAGTTAAGGCTCCTGCCTGATCTTTTGCACCACAGTCTTACATATTTCAGGGTCAACCTGAAAATGAAGAGGAGTGGGGCTGAAAGAGTAAGTCAGCTTGTGAATGCATGGACAAACTTGCATAGTGTACCCACAGTCCAAAAGTTCACACAACTGATCAGCTGTGTGTGTGTGTGTGTGTGTGTGTGTGTGTGTGTGTATCTAGCTGTCTCTCTGTCTGTCTTATATATATACCTCAAAATGAATTCACCAAGGAATGTTTAGCTTCTGAAGGTAGTGCTTCATCCACCATTTTAAATAAAAGCCTTGGAGCTGATGCTGGTTCTGGCTGATAGTGGGCTTTCTTCTTCCATAGTTTAGTATCCTTTTCTAATTGGATTTGTTTTTATTATGGTTTTAGTAGTTTTTTTAAGGTAAGGGGGAGATAAATAAGTTTCAGATGAGAGGTGTCTACTTGTATCAAAAGTGGATTGGATACAGAGCAGATGAAGGGAGTTCCTCTGGATCCAACTGTCTCTTTTTCAGCAATCTTATCAGACAGAAGCTAGTGGAATACTTTGGCAAGTAGAATAAATATGGGATAGCTTTGAACATAAAGGTCCTGATACAGCAAAAGTTAATTTCACCACTTCAATGAATATAAATGGGCCTTGGTTAGTAACAACTTGTCCCATTGGTTTCAGTTGTATGACTAATTTTTGTGTGGCTGAGGCCTTTATGTCCAAACTGGCATTTAATTTAATTGTCTTGAATTGTCTACCTGTTCATTTCAAATACACATTGCCTTCCTGTCTTTTACTGAAAATTATACAGAACGCAATTGTTTGGAAAACAATTGTAGATCGCCCCCCATAGATTCTGCCCCCCCCTAAATTGTCTATGCGCTTTGCACAGTCTCACAATAAATTGGGAATTTTATTGTTTTTATAGCATGTCAGTACTAGGAGTATTATCACTTTCTAATAAGCTAACTTAGTCTACAACAGGAAGTCCCCCAGGACAGCTGTAAACTGCTCTTGGAATTCACACTATGGAAGAAAATTTGTGAAGGAAGGTTAAATACATTCCAATACACTGGGTAGAGCCAAATAAGATTACTGTATCTTATTTGGGGATGGAAACTTAGGGGGAATGAGTGTATAATATATGCTACATATTAGGAGTTTTATAATAACTCCTTGTTCAAGGAGTTTTTTTAGAAAGTATTGCATTCCAGGACAAAGCAGACAAGTCCCCGAATAATGCCACAACTCTCTTTTTTAAACAGATTATCATTTTAAAAAACAAACAGCAAAGAAAATAAATATATGATAATAACACCAATATAAACATTGTCTGTGGATGAGCTTAAAATAATAAAAGTGACCAATGAATGCAATGTTAAAGCTTTTGAAAAAGAGATGGTTTTATGTATTTTGACCACTTAAATAACTGTCTCATAGATAATGTTTGAATGTAACGGTTGTAACTTAACTGTGTACATTTTGACAAAATCACATTCCGCCTTACCATTCTCTGGAGGGGATGCAAATATTATGGAAAGCTTTTTGTGTGTGGCTTAAATAAAGTATATTGTTCCATCTTTGGAAGTAGCACCAGTCCTATCCCATCGACAGTTGGAAGCACAAACCTTTTAATGTACAAAGGGTAGCAGTACTTCAGCCAATCTGTGATAAAGGGGGGAAATGAGATCACTATGGAAACGGCAGGGAGAATCTAAAAGGTTTCTTTATAAAGTAAACGTCTGATGTTTGTGACTGCGGGGGCAAAAAAAATCATAAATCTGTATGATGCTATCATTTCTGATTTGTTATCACAGCAAATGCCAAGTGTAAGCAGTCTGACCATGGCTTTATTAAGCGCTTTCGTTTGCTAAGATAGCTACTATTCGACAGCAGAGGAGAGAGAGAGAGAGAGAGAGAGAGAGAGAGAGAGATGGCAGTGCTGTAGGGGAAATCTCATTTGCTTAAATTTTTCATCATACCTTTTTTTTTTCTTGTAATCACAGAGAAAGCTCAGAGCTTATGCAGTGAGCAACACCATGAGGTTTCCAGAAAGGCAGTCACTCGGGGAGCTGAATACAACTGCAAAAGCAATGTTTCACCCCCTTACGTGTCTGCCTTTGATCTCAGATTGAAAATCTGTGACCCTCTCCCTCCAATCCAAAAGCAAATAAATGCAAAAGGAAAGTAACCTTCAGAACACAGGCTGGCAAGGACAAAAAAAAATTAATAAAGAAGGAAGGAAGGAAGGAAGGAAGGAAGGAAGGAAGGAAGGAGAGAGATTGTAGTTGTAATAGCTCCCATGGACCTGCTTGGAGAACAGGCAACTGCTACTGGATTCACTGGACGAGCTAAACAAGGGTTGCAGGCAGCATCTCTGGTCCTGCAAAGGACAAGGAAAGCTTTTAGGCTTTCTCTGTACTTGCTGCCGAAGCTCTCACAGAAGCAACAAGACAGTCGCAGTTCTCCTGAAGTCCCAGTTCTTCATAATTCATCTCAAAGCTTGCAGAGAAAGAAAACGATGGTAAGCCAACAATTATGAATACTGTTTACTGCATTTAAACATGATTTTTATTTTGTGTATTGCATCTAATAGGAATTATTGCTTCTCCCTAGATATCCTGGTCTTTTAAAAGACAGGTGTGAATTTTGATTGGTTTTCTGAGTTATAATTTGTTGATTTGGTCCAGTTTATTCATTTGTGGCATGAGACATACAGGGGCCATTCAGAGATTGTTGTGGTGCAACTGTAAATGGGTTGTGTCAACCCCAAGTAAAACTACTTCCATTTTCAAAGCACCATGTTCCTATAGCTTAACTTTTAGCATGTGACTCAGATGAATAAATTTTAATGCTAAGGTTGGATATCTGGAATGATAAGGGTTTTAAATTATAATTACAGTGACATGCAAGGTTCAGATGGTAGTTTTTCTTGTGAAAGCATTTAGATATTGTAGTAGACTTATGAGTTTTAACTGGAACAAAAACTCCAGCCAAAATCCTGGCAGTGCAAACTTTTGAAAATGCAGAAATAAATATTTCAGTGATAAATAAATGAAATGATTTGAAACCAATTTCAGTGTTGCTTTTTAGGCATATCATAAAAATCAATGATGTGTGGATAAATTTGTGGAGTGAAATGAAACTGCTTTTAAAAAATTTTCTGTATAGCACTACCTTGGAAAAACAGTTTGAATTACCTTGCTACATTGACAGATAATATATTCAGACATTTATCAGATGATAAGACTAACTATATAGGGCTGGATGACACTAAAGGGGCAGTGTTTGAATGTTTGTATTTATTTTCTTCAAGGTATTCTACACATGGCCTTTCCAGACCAGTAACTTCATCAGAACAAAGCTTATAAGGTAGGTCAGAATAAATACTCATACAACTTGATAGCTGGGGGGGGGGGAGGGGGAGAATCTAAATTGCATGCAACACAATGTTAATGAATAATCTCTTCTGCCCAACTATATTGTATGCAGTATGAAATGAGAGGTTGATTGATTTACGCGAATGCTCATTTGTTGTACTGTTTTTATTCTGAATATTCGGTCCTGGCTAGTGTTGGTAGGATAACAGAACTGAAAACCAGGAAGCTGTTGCACATATCCCATGCCAACACCCCCCCTTGGGTCACAATATTCAGTATAGATACCTAACAGCTTCTGAATTGTACATTTGTGTTTAGAACAAAGCGAATACCTGAAAAGAGCTGAGAAACAAGTGTAAAATACACACAACTGAGAATACTGGAAGAAGTTGTGATTTTTAAGAGCAAGGGAAATGTTACCACCAACATAGTGATGATTCCTACTGCAATGAGACTTTCTGAAGATACTATCTACCAAAAAGATAATGCTCTAGGAGTTTCAATATGACAAGCACTTTTGATAGTGGTTCTCTGAATTAGAATATAGCAGCTGCCTATCATCTTGCTGTTCTATTCTTTCCAACCTTTTTAGTAGTACCTAGGAAATAATGCAGGATCCTAAACCATATTTCTATAGCAATGATATTTAAAAGGCCAGTTGTTGCACTTGTTTGGGGGAACGCATCTATTTTGTTATAGATCATCAGAAGGGAGTTTAGGGGAATTAACTTATGCTGGGTTTGAATCATTGCCATCAATAGACTTCAACAGAGAAAGTGGTTGGGTTTCAACTTTTATTTTATTTTTTTCAGTCCAGTGTTTACATGCTATTGTTGTTATTAAAGTTTAACCCTGATTAATGATTTTTTTTTAATTTCTTCATGTGGAATCTGCCACTAATTTTGCTAATACCTAGACAATAAAGACTGCAATTGAATGTAAAGCCATGCTGTTTGGACCCCACTGGAGTCAATGGGCAGTATCCAACTAAGTCATACTCAGAGTAGACCTACAGAAATCAATGGACTTTGGTTGGTCATGACTAATTAAGGTACATTGATTTTAATGGGTCTACAATCCAATGGGATTAAAGTTGCATTAAATGTTTTCAGGATTGCAATCAAAGACTAAAATATTTATTTTAGCCTTTAAAAGTTTTAATCTTTAAGAATTTATGCCTATCCAAACACCATACATTTGTTCCCTCCTTGCACTTTTAATTTTGTTATTAATCTTATTATTTTGTTAATAGATACCATTCATTCTGTAAGTTATATGCACTAGGAGATGCCACATTAGTGATCTTAAACCTATAGAGGGGAGTTCACCATTTTAAATAATACAGATTTACACAGTTAGATAAAAGGTTAATTAAGGTTAATATTGGAAAACATGTTCTGAGACTTCCTTTAGCAAAAACTTGAATGAATCTGATGTAATTCTATGCATTTTCTCTCTGTGTTTGATATGTAATATTTTTCTAGATCTAGGCTGCTGCTAATTCATTAAAACTTTCCTTGAGGGCAAATGGACCCTAGATATAAGTAAGCGCCTTTGTAGGAAAGCACATAGCATTATGAGTTAGCTAAGGGAATACTGTAACTGTATCCTCAGGTAACATTTTTGTGTACGAGTATATTATGCAATAAAAGAAGGTATTTTTTCCCTATTTTTATATTTCTTCTGGGAAATATCCAAACCTTTTCAAGCAGGTTATGCTCCTGGCTGAAATTTGCAGAAAACAATCAAAATAAACCCTGAAGAATATCTAAGAGAAATACTACTTGTGCTTGTTCCTTGGTTCACGAGTAGCATGGGACCTCTATTTTGGTTGAGTTGTCATCACATCATGTGAACTTCATTGTTAATTATGATAAGTATTTGTTGGAATGAAGATCCATGCAGCTGGTCGTTGTTGAATTTAATAGGGCAAACTCTTTGATAACTGTATAAGACTGCAGCCTTACTCTGCAACATATCATTCCAAATTCACAATGAAAGTTCAGCAATTCAGTAGGTTGGATCCAGAATTCACTCTCATCTGCAGCAGCATCCCCTAAGCAGAGTTCTACTCAGGGGATTTACTTGCTGGTGTAGGGAGGGTGATGTCTGCTCATTCCCGCTTTAGTTCCCAGTACCACCTCCCGCTGAATTTTGGGGGGACACTTTGGAATACTGTGGGAGATGGCACTGCAGTGTGCAGGTGAAAGGACAATGCCAAAAGGCACCTCTCTCCTCCTACCAATGCGATCTGCCTTCTGGATCAAAAGTCTTCCATTGGCAGAAGAGGTCTTTCTGTCTGTGGAAAGTGAAGTCTGGATCAGACTCAGTTTCTCTTACCTGCCCCACACCACCACTTTTAAAACGTGTAACTTAAAATAATGGCTTTTTTCCAGCCAGAACTCACTAGAACTCAGTTCTGGCACCTTCACCACACTGGACAAATGTCCCTGCTGTTCCTGAGTAATGTTGTGTGATGTGGTAATGGTGCAGTGGTGCGCATAGATCAGCATACACACATATTTGTCTAGTGTACCATCTCTTAAGACTGGGTTGCCACCAGGTGCCAGAAGGAGCAGCAGATTCATTTTTATTGAAAGATAAGAAAACCTGGGCTGATATATAAATTTAATATATAATAATAATATTTCCTGAATATACTAATAATACACTAAGCACTGTTGTCAACCTTCCTACTCTACATTTCCTGGGGAAAGGATATTGGTTATAAGTGTTCATTGGGGACTTGCATTGTGGGAAAGTGACTAGATTGTTTGGAAAGCAAATCGAGTTTGTTTGCATGCCATGTTAGGGCCACCACAATGCATTTTGCTGCCTGAGGCAGACAAGATACCCTGCTCTAGAAGTTGACTGGAGTGGCAGCTGAATCATACTTCAAGACTGGTGATGGGATAATATCTTATTGAGGCGCTAGGACAGCACAGGTCTGTTCTTCAACAGAAGGGAATAGCCAGGCAGCTTAAGAAGGGCACTCAGGGTGCTGTTGCCTATGCCTCTCCATAACTGTCATCTAAGGCAGCTGCCTCATCTTGCCAAATGGTAAGGGTGGCCCTGTGCTACACTTTACACCCTGTCACCTGCAAAGACCTCAAAGTACAGTGGTACCTCGGGTTGCATATGCTTCAAGTTACATACACTTCAGGTTATATACTCCGCTAACCCAGAAATAGTGCTTCAGGTTAAGAACTTTGCTTCAGGATGAGAACAGTGCTCCGGTTGCGCAGCGGCAGCAGGAGGCCCCATTAGCTTCAGGTGCTTCAGGTTAAGAACAGTTTTGGGTTAAGTACGGACCTCCAGAACGAATTAAGTACTTAAGCTGAGGTACCACTGTAGTACAGTTCCTAGGTAGTCTTCAACAGTATCATGGTATTATGTGCCTTCAGGCCATTCTCTTTGCAGATCTGTTAAAAACGAAGGTAATCTTCACATACACACTTCCCCGGGGTCTTTTTCTGTTTTGTTCAGAACAAGCCTGCTGATTAGTCGAGGAAGACCCACGCAATTAGCCCTGTCCATGTATTTCTAAGCGAACATACTCTAGAATAGCTTGGGAACGAAAATTCCTCTCTTTGTGTGCATGCACAAATAATGTTAGGATACGCATAGTCTGATCTATTCATAGGAAATATAAATCATTCTGGTAGAATATCTGCAGAAATCTCATGTTAAGGAGATATTTGGGGCATGATGGTTTCATAGCATAAATATTAGTAGAGCCTTGTCTAGATAGGTACAGGATGATTGATAACAGGGTTAGCAGACTTGTCTGATGTTAGCATTTGCTTTTCTTGTGAATCTCCTGTTCTTTTGATAGAATATATATAGAATATATATGGTTACATAGATATAGCACAGAATGTGTTTTGAATGTGCTCCTTAGGGGTTTACTTTTAGTTGTAAAGAACTACTGGGCATTAAACAGTAGAAGATTAATGGGTTCTAGCTGTGGAACAAGAAGTGTCTGGATAGCAAGTAAAAGTCAATGCCCATCTAGCCAAGAAAGCTGACAATTATCATTCTCTGCATATTATAATAGTAGCTGGGATGGGCAACTCTCAGGGCGCCCTAAGAAATTTTGTCATTGCATAGCGGTTGGACTAGATAAAACTTGAGCCATCAGGCA